TCTCTCTCTCTCTCTCTCTCCTGACCAGAAAAAGGGATCGTCCAAAACAACGTCGATAAAACCGTTAAGAATAAAGGTATACAAGCACCAAAGTTTGCAGAAATGTGGAACATCCATCCGGATTTATTATGCTTTAATAAGAAAAGAATATGACTGCCACCAATTTTAAGTAAAGTACAATGTACATTCTGACACGTCGAGTGAAATTGACAATCACCCGTTGATGCTGCTCGAGAGAAATTCTCTCTCTTAGTCTTGTGCCCTGAGTTATGGTTTTTCTCAAATCTTGGATACTTTCAAAGGTTTTACCACACATCTTGTCCTTCAAACAACCCCTATGGTGAAAGTCCAGTGGACTCAGGTCCGGATTGTTGTTTTTTTCTTTGTTTTTTTAGTTTTAGTTAGTGTTTTACGGCACTTGCAACACGATAAGGTCATAGAAGTGCCGAAGGTTAGAGGTTTTACAAGGGAGTAACAAACACAAAAAGAAGAAAGAGAGATCAGGACGAAAGGTGTTTGATAGGAAAGAAGGAGTAAACCGCACCAGAGTACCCGCCAACCACCCACCCGGATTGTTTGGGGTCCAGTTGTGCTCAGTCGCGGGCTGATCAGTCTCCTAGCTGTTATTCAGTCTCCTAGCTGTTATCAAAATGGTTGTTGACTGAGAACTGAATCATGGGGATCAGCCCTGTCCTGCCGAGAGTGTTGGTTCTTTCCCCCTTTATCATTAACAATTGAAAGTCCAAATCCCCTCTAGAATATTTAGATAAGATGACAAAGTATCGGTCAGAGTTCACCGAATGACGGACCACCTTAACCTTTTCAACTGTGCGTTGTTTTTACAGGTTGCCAATCGTGTGTTTCTCAACGCTTTGTTTTCTACGGACCAAAACCTTCTGACATTTGCAGACCATTACAAAATGGACTTTTTGCTTGGAAAATTGTGTTTGTTACGTAGGTATCTATCCCGTATTCCCGAGCAAATCAATCTCAGATCGAAGTAAGAGAATTTGTTATCTTTCCGTTGTGCAACCGCTATT